AACCTTTAAAAAAGATCAAGAAAAGCAACATGACATAATGGAAAGATGGCCTTAAAGCTAGCTGAACCTGAATTCAAGTCCCACTCCTTGCCATACACTGNTAACCTTTAAAAAAGATCAAGAAAAGCAACATGACATAACGGAAAGATGGCCTTAAAGCTAGCTGAACCTGAATTCAAGTCCCACTCCTTGCCATACACTGACTAGTTGATCTTGTCCAAGTTATTTAACTTCACGGTGCTTTGGGCAACATTCTAAGACTATAAGTTGTAGAGAAAGTTATGACCTGCACTGTTATAGGGAATTTCATCATCTGGGAGATCCCTATACAGCTGTAGTCACTATTCCACGTGTTTGATATAATTGGGGCAATATTTCTAGTTTTTCAAATCAGACACTGAATTCACATTTCACAAAAGTTAATATGTTTGTGAATCAAGGTTTTTTTTTAAAGGACCCTACACTTGAAGAAGGGATTCCTACATTTTTCAGAGGTTAAACTAGAAGACTTCTCAGGTTTCTTCTGATAATTGAGATTCTGTGAACTAGGACTAGTATAAATATTTCATGAAGTCTAGTAGTAATTCAGTTAAAATTATTCTGAGCTTTTGGATATTGTCTTCCATTAACTCCAAACTATATATATATATATATATATAATATATATACATATATATATACACAAACACATATGCAAATATGTATGTACACACATATACATATGCACACATACATACATATATAATATGTGTATATGTATGTAATATGTTCATACATACAAAAGCAAGTTTTATGGCATTTATGGGGTTTAAAATTTTACAGACAGCAAATGTTAGTGTGATTAATAAAGTTATAATTTAGAAAACAAAAAGTTAATATACACTTGAAGGAGAATATTTCAGGTATAATTTTACTTTATCAGCCAAAGTAAATCTAAAACCAGCATAGGGTGAGTTAAATAAAGAGGAAAAAGTCTTTTTTCTTGATTACTCAGAACAGGAAAACCCAATTTTTAGGTTTTTTTCCTAATAGCAAAATAGAATTAAAAGTGAATCAAAATCATTTTCTTAATTGGCAAGCATGTCTTTTTTTTTTCCTCTTCCCACAAAACAAGTTGTGGTCTGTCAGGGATGCCTTGACATTGCATCAGATGTAGCATAGTGGAAGTTTGGTGGTCAAAGAACTATTTATACATGGATATCCCCAAATGGTTATGCTTAAGGCTGTGTTTAATGCAGGCAAAATGAAGAGTTTATTCCATTTGTTACTAGATGAATTTGATAATTTAAGTAGACAGTTTGGACTAACTAAGCAAAACCTCTTTTTGATGCTAAATAGCAGCTTTTGGAGCTTAAATTATTCAGATCACTGCCTCAACTTTTTACTTAAAATATATCATAAAAGTTTCATTGTGACCCCTAGTTTCATCTATGACTCTACTTCTCATTTCTTAGCCACTGTTTAAGAAAAGTAGATGGGGCAGATATCTGGGAATGGGTATCTTTCCATTTTCTGCCCATGATTCTGCTTTGATGATTTTTTCTACACTATTGGGGGTAAAGGACCTCTCAGTCTTCCTATTCCACTCTTGTCTAATCTTAGCTCTCATCCTAAATTTCTGAAGCCTTTGCTACAGCATTAACTTTCACTCCTCTTCCTTTTGTAGAACATGCAGATTACAACATACACTCCCCACCAGGATGGCAATGTTCTCATTGTCTCTCTGAATGTCTAGCTCTATTAAATCAGCATGTATTAAGGGCTGACTTTGAGCAGAGTGCTAGCAGTAGGTATATGGCAGACACAAAAGCAAGATAGTCCTTGACTGCCCTCAAACAGCTCACATTCTAGAAATGGTAAAATCACAATTACCAACTAATTCATGACAGAAATAATGTTATTGACACAGTATTTTCTACAATACATAAAGTATCTTTTAGTTAATAAGATGATTTCAGTTTTTCCTTTCCAAAACAACATATTGAAAACTCTAATTTGGCCTCTGTAAATAAATTAGGCATGTACACCTTAGGTATTGGGTAGAAAGTCATTATTGAAATGCAGAATAATAAATATGTAAATAAATATACTACAACTAGCACCACCATCACCACCCCTACCACTATTGGCACTGCTCCTACTACTGCTGCTGCTACTGCTACTACTACTACTACTACTACTACCACTACTACTACTACTTTATCTAGACCCTAAAGATATAAAACTTTCTTGTTGTCTAGAATTTAAAATTTTGCTATTGTTTATATCATAGTCATTTATGGACATGTTCTATCTGCCTTATTAGATCAAAAGCTCCTTGAAGGCAGTTTTGGTGTCATATCTATCTTTGTGTCTCCAGAACTTAGGACAGTGTCTTGTATATAGCAGATGTTGAATAGATGTTTATTGATCTGAATTTAATTGAACACAAGTCAATATTGATTCCATTTTACCCAAATACTTTCTGTGTTAATTTTTTTTCTAAGATGAAGCTTTCATAATTACAGTAAATGAAGTATTTAATATCCATCCTTACTCTACTATATCTATAGTCAACACATATTGTGTGTGTAGGTGGGTGCTTACTAAAATGAAGATGATAGATATATTATTCATGGTTAAGTGTTTCCTTCTTATGCTCCTGATTCTCTTGTGAAATGTAGAGTATTGAGAATAAAGTTCTATTTGTATACCTCACTATAGAAGAAGATCTTGGATATGCTAAGGCTATCCATCTGAAAAAAGATTTCAAGGATGATCTCAGGAACAATCTATAGTTCTGTTTTCTGAGGATCAGCTTAGGTAAATATGGAGAGGCTAATCCCTGGGTTGGCCATGAAGTGATAAATTTCTCAGCCACGGCACTTCTTAAAGAC